TTGTGCTGAGCGATAGTGAAGAGTGAGTATTGTATATACTGCTGGTGCTCCAAACCAACAATATAAACAATATCGGTATAAGATTTGATTTTTTGAAAAAAAGAATAGCTCTCCAAGAACAGAAAAAGGTTATTTAATAAGAATTGATTTTTGATAAGAAGTATAAATGGAAAGAATCCCAAGGAAAATTTGTAAAAAGGTAACTGCCATGGGCCTTTCCTCATGCAATCCAAAAAAATAGCAAGGTCCTCAAGCTTGCTTTTCCCTGGCCAGAGGTCCCATCCCAATGCACCAGTGTACTTTCCTAGATTCCTTGAGGTTCCTGTAGTGAAGGCAATAGAAGTGTGGAGGACTTTTAGGTAGTTAAAGGCGAAGATAAAAAAAACTATTTCTTTAATTTTGAAAAAATTACTATAAAAGGAAATTTTAAGAAAAATGTTGTGTATGGGAAAGAGTTTTTTTTTATATAAACATCATTTCTTTATTTAATGTTATATATAATAATGTATATATTGTAAAAGAAATAATATCTTTTTTATTATTTCAAAAAAGTTAAATATTAACTTGTCTACTTAATATTATCTAACTAATATTGTAAAAAATTTTAAAGGCAATATTATAGTATTAAATAAAGCTAAATAATGGTTATATCTATTAACTCAAAAAATTTTATGAAATTTTTTAATTTTTTTGAATATATAAAAATTGAAAAAAAAAGAACAAAAGTAATTATGACTAAAACTAAATCAAATAAACTATAAAATCTATAAGTAAAAAATCAATTATTTCTTCAAGAAAGCTTTCAGACAGGCTCATTGTCATATCTCTCTAACTTTTTAATTATTATAAATAATAGAGTATACATGAAGTTATTTGTTATTATAATTGTTAGTAAATATATAATTGATATTATTATTGTGATTATTGTTATAATTGTTATTATGATATAAAATCAGTTTGAACAATAACTTGTTAAAGTATTATTTTTTATACAAAACTGCTCAATATACTAATTCAACAGGTATTGAAATTGTAACTTATAAAAAAGACATTGTAGTATAATGATTATCCAGTTAATATTATAATAATTATCAAAATTTGTTTTATAATAATTAAATTAAGTAAAATAAAAACACTTGTTTAATTTTCTAATTAAACTTTTCTGATATTTGAATGTATAGATTGAACTGTATTTTATTTTAATTCATTCCTATTGCCTATTTTTTCATTTCTTTTTAATTACTAAATAAAAAATTTTGAAGAAAGTATTATATAAATACATACTAATATCTTGTATATATAACTTTCTAATTATATATGTGGTGTAAATTATTTTACTGTTGACTCAATTCTCAAAATCCTCAAAAATAATTGTGTCATAACTCAATTATTTATATATTTTAATAGTGACTCAATTAATTGTATCAAATAATTGTATCAATTGCATCAAGGATCTATAAATTTCAGACCTATTTTATATATCTTAACCATTAATTCTGCATTTAAGTTCTGTTGAAAATAAACTAGCTCACCAAATCCAAAAGCTGAAAAGCATCCCCAAATATGAACCTTTAATGAATGCTTTACTGAATGAAATATTTTTCTTTTTCCAAGGAATTGCCACGCCATTCTTGATTATTGATATAAATAAAAGGTACTCTCATCTGAAAAAATGACCTTATTCCAGTTATAATTTTTATATGTTTTTGTCCATTTTAGTCGATTTTCCTGATACCTATCAATTAGTAGGGGTTTTGATAGTTTTGTAAAATATTTACCTTCTGCTTCATGAAGACGTTGCCTAATGGTTTTTTCACTGACTTCAGTATACCATTTTCTTATTTCCTGTTGAATTTCAGTAGCTGCTACCTCATTTTTTTTTTCCGCGAGATATATAATCATGGTATCTTACCTTAAAGTAATGATTCTTTGCTGTCCTGACTTCAGTTTGTCATTTAAATCTTTACTCTCCCTCATCTTTTTATTCAATAATGGATCGTTTTTTCGTCATAGCAGACCTCCTTTGCCATCTTACTTAATGACAGCTTCAGGCCTTTTGGATGGATACATAGAAAGACAATTTCATACCGTCTATGTAACGGAAGGCTTATTTTTTGTGACTGAAGTTTATTGATTATCTAGCACCTAATATGGACTACCTAATTAACTCTAAAAGGCAAAAATTGATCAGTACCCATGATGTACTTTGTGTTTTGAAAATTTCAGGGGCTTGTATGTAATTAACAAAAAATTAGCAGAAGGGGATACTTATGCTGATGATTGTAATTGTAGCAAATAATGTAATTGTGTCATAATTAAAAATAATTATAGCAAAATCATATAATTGTGTCATATTAAAATAATTGTATCAAATTATATAATTGCAGCAAAATCATATAATTGTATCATATTAAAATAATTGTGACACAATTGTGGCATTGCATCAACTATAAAAAAAATTCATTTGATTCAATTACTAAATTCTTGATTTTTAATTGTACCTGACTCAATTCAATAATTTTTGTTACATATATAGAATGTACTGTATTTATTTTTATTAAAAAATTTTTTTTAATTATTAATTATAATTTAAATATACGATATAAATATACAATAATTAGATATTAAATTGATTTTTAAATTTATAGTAATTATTAAAGTTATAAATTATTTATACAAATTTTATATTATAATAAAGTTTATGTTTTTTAAAAAATTTTTTATATTTTCCATTAAATTAATTATTTCTAATTTTATGCAAATCTTTTTAGAAAATCTTTTTAGAAAATTAAAATAATTAATCTAATATAAAAAATATAAAAAATTTCTTAAAAAAAATATAAACATTACTATATTATCAATATTTTAATAAATTATTATATACTGTATATTATAATTTTTTATTAATCAAATAATTATTATTTTTATATTAAATTTTTTAGTTACAAATAACTATTAAAAAAAATAATGTTTTATTTTATATTCTAAAACATATTATATAAATAATTGTTTGTTTATTATAAAAATATTCAAAACTTTTTAAACTGTTAATTATACATAATCTTTATATACAAAATACTTATTTGTTTTTATTTTGTTATTTAAATATTATTATTTTCAATTATTTGATCATTCTTATACTATAAATTTAAAAACAGCAATTAATCAAACTTAAATTAATAGATTATTTAAATCTATTATTAATTCTACATTATATATTTTTAATTTATTATAAACATAGTTTAATATTAAGTAATTTTTCATTCTTCAAAAACGAAATTGTTGTGCAGACCCTATTTACATGTTATTTAAGAATTACCATATAAACAAATTTATTCTCACTACATAACTGAGTCAAATGTTATTAATATAACCCATACACATTTCAATTCATCCTAATTCAAATGATTAATTATATCAGATCGTGACTAAGAGAAAACAAACTTCCTTCAAGTAATTAATATAATATATAGTATAAGTTAACTTACATTTTAATTGGAATGATCTCGTATCTTTCCCACACTTTTTCAATGACATATGGGTCTTGTTCAACCGCTTCCCTAACCTGTTCTTCGGATTCTGCTTCAAATACCATCATACTACCAATCATTTCACCTTTATCATGATCCGCCAATATCGCGCCGCCAGTTAACAAAAAACCGAACTCTTTTGATTTTTTCGTGTTATCCAAGTGACGCGGTCTAACAGGTAATCTTCTGTCAAAGGCATCTGGATCAGAAAAGTCGGTTGCTATAATTGATAATGGCGTAGATCATTAATTTGCCTTAATCTCCTTAAGTAAATATCTGCTATTATGATAATAATATGTAGTGTATGTAAGTTAATGTGATTGGATATTTACCTAACAATAAAAATTGTTTTTTCGCTTTAGGAAAATAAGAATGTAAACGATAGATTGTGCAGATAAGTATCAATCAATTTCTGACTTGTGTTTAACAGAATGTTAGAATCTCACCGATGGGAATAGTGCTGAACCTCTTTTCATAAACTTGTGTGTAAAGATTTTATTTTGTTCCAAGTATATGTTAATAACGTTGAAAATCAAAAGATATCTAGTTCGCTTTTAATCAACAGCCCAAATAAATTTCTAAAGAGTCACCTAAAGGAATTCTAATCAGTGACGGTACTCTAGAAATGTTTTGATTGCTCAGTACTGAGAAGAATCTATTCCTTGGAACTTTACTTAATAACATGTTTATTTACAAGTAGAATTAAAGTGCCGTGTTGATCTAATCTCGGTCATACAACTACTTGTTATATATGTCGCGTAGATCCTTGATGCAATTAATTGCGTAATTAATTAAATCAACAGTTAAATTTGAATTAAAAATATTAATTAATTTTTACATAACTAGAAATATTAAATTATCATTTTTAAAAAAACTTGTTCTTTTTTTGAATAGGTAAATAACATTTCTTTTTTTTAATTGGTCAAGGGCATTAAATGCGAGGTTTTTATTGATAATTCAAATAATATTTCTTTATTTATTTATATATTACCAGATATATATTTAAAAAATATATATATACAAATTGCAGTTAATTAAATGCTAGTTTGCCTATAGTAATTATTTAACTTTACTAGAAAAAAAATTTTAAAACTAGTATATTAATTAAATAATGCCAAGCAGCTATAAATGTTTACTTAAAATTATTTTGGAAAATAATACTATAATAGTTAAAAAGAAAATTAGAAATATGTATATAATACAAAGTTAAGATTGTTTTGAATTAATTTATATATTTTTAAAAAATTTATTAATATAATAACAATAAACTTATTTTTTAAATAAAATATTGTATTTAAAATCTATAAGTCTATAATATAATGATTAATATTTTATAAATAAGATTTTTAACAATACTATTTCAGTATTTGATTTAGAATCTTATTTATAAATTAGATTACAAAATATTAATTTAACACTATATAAGAGTAATTAAACAAAATTAATATAGTATTTAATACTATAACTTGTTAAAGTACTAATTTTTATAAGAAGTTGATTTATATACTGATTTAGCTAATGTTGGGATTATAATTTTCAAAAAAAATATTATAGTATAATAATTATCTAATTAATGCTATAATAATTACTGAAAGTTATAAAGTATATGAGATATTTATTTTCAATAAGATGGTTTAATGATAATTTTTCCATAATATCTGATATCTTTTCTTACAGATTTTTGAAAAAGTTTTTATTTTGATACAGTAATAGATTGCTTTGATAATTATTTATCTTAGAAAGATAATTAAAACAATAGTAAATATCAATAATTGAAATAATCGATAGGCAATAAGTTTGTAAAATAAGTTTTTTAAATATTCTTGGATAGCTTTAAAAAGATAGGAATTAAATAATATGCTTATTTGTAGATAATCAAATTTAAAAGAATTCTTCTACAGGATTCTATTTGCTTAAAAAGTATTATCTTCAGTTTCTTTCTTTCAAGTTCTTCTTAATATATTCTGGATTAGAAATAAAACTTAATATATAATAATAATACTAATAATATTATATTATGTTAGTTTTGATATAAATAGATTTCTAGATCTATAGTCAATAGTAACAAGCTGATATGAGAATAAAATCAGATATAGTTTAGCAATAATTTATAAGTAATAACTTTCTGGAATACATGATATAAACATACATAAATTAAATAAAAAATACTAAGTATAGTCCAGCTAATCAAATTAAAAAAAATAATAAATAATAAATAAAGTATTATATTTAATACCTGTTTATAATTAAAAAAAAATTATATATTATTTTTTTAAAAAAATAAATAAAATAATAAGTTAATAAAATTTAAAGTTTTAAAAAAAAGATTTAATAAAAATTTCTTAAAAATATTTGTTTACAAAATAAATAATAAATATTTTAATAAAAAAATAATAAATATATTTAATTATAAATATTGTAAATATAACAATTCTGAATCACATGCTATATAATCTAATTGTCCTAATGATCCAAATCCTTCTGATCAACTTGAGCACCTTAATTAGCCACATATAAATACTATAATATTAACTTCTGATGAAATGATCATATAGTTATTCATATATATTTTCTAATTTGAAGTAATTATAAAACAACTATGAAATAATATTACTATATTTAGATAAACTTAGCTATAGTTGTGTTTTGTTATTTACATATTTACTTTATTTATTTTATTTACTTCTTTATTTTTCTATTTCTATTTTCTCTTTTATATATTTTTTATGTTAACTCAAAATATATAAAAAGAATACACTTTTAATTTGAATAAACTTAATTTTTTGTTTAATTTAATAAATATCTCTCTCTAAGTTCACTGTCCAATTGAATTCACTCATAGTTTTATAAGACTTTTATAACTTGGTAGCAACAGGTTTAAAAAATATTTCCTACACCTATATTTAAATATATATACCTTAAGAAAAACTTTGTTAAAATGGATACTACTCAATTTGCCACCTTTATGAAAATTTTTCAAGAAACTTTAAAAACACTTGCCATTGAGAAAGAAAAAACCATATCATTAAGTTCTTCTTCTTCTTTCTCTATTTTTACCACTCTTTTCCCATAGATTTCTCTCAAAATTCTTATGTTTAAAGAAAAAACAAAAAAAAATGTTGAAGTTTGGATATGCAAAATAAAAAATATCTTATATGCTTAAGAAATAACAAATAAAGAAAAGATGATCCATTATATTACTACTGGATTTGAGAATACTGCTCTCTACTAATTTGTCAATAAAATTAAGGATTCGATAGACCCTAAATTTATTTTTTGGGATCAATTCAAGAAAGAATTTAAAGATGCCTTTTAACCTCTATACTATTAACAATACTTTCAAACTCAATTCAAAACCTTGCATCAAATATAAACTATTCAAGAATATAGCTTTCAATTTAGAAATCTGATTTGCCAAATTAATAAAATAGGAGCTTTGGATCAAGTTGCCTATTATATAAATGAATTAAGCTTGTGACAGGAATAGAAATAAGCTATCAAGCCTCTAAAACATTAAATAATACTGGAAAACCAGCAATCTGCTATGATACTGTTATGTTTAAATTAGGAAGTCAAAAACAGAAAGCCATTTCTCGGGATTTTTAATTTTTAAGATAATCTTCAAGAATTGAAATAAATTAATTCCAATAAAATTATATCAAGCTGAAATAAAAAAAAAGAAACTTTTCAAAACAAGGGAAACAAACTAAATATTATAACTGTGAAAAGAAGAATATATAACAAGAAAATATAAAGGAAAACTTAAAGCCAAAGTATCTATTATAGAAGAACAAGTCTTCTTTTCCAGTACTGAATTTGTTCATATTGAAAAAACAAAAAGCAATTGCTATACTTTAATAGAAAAATCAATGGTCACTCTACTTGGATCCTCTTGGATAATGGAGCTTCAAGAAACTTTGTTAATGAAAAGTTCTTAATATATTATCAACTACAAAAAAAAAATACCATACTATATATATGATATAAATTATTTGCTATTGACTCAATTCTCAAAATCCTCAAAAATAATTGCATTATGACTCAATTATTTATATGTTTTAATAGTAACTCAATTAATTGCATCAAATAATTGCATCAATTGTATCAAATATCTATGAATTTCAGTAATATGTATACATTATATCTTTTACTGTAGAATTGGTTAATAGAAAAAAGAAAAAAATCACTAATTAAGTTAAGATTAACAAGTTGAAGTTGGATATCTACCAAATCACCAGAATTACTATACAAGTTTTTAACTTGCAAAGATATGATACCATACTTGAATAACTCTAATTATATTATGCCAACTCCAATATTGACTAGAGAATTAATACTTTGTCTTTTCAGTATAGAAAATACAATATTAAGGTTAAAACAAGTTCTAATTGGACCAATCAGAATTCTGAATGCCATTCTATAATTATTTCAATATTATCAATTAGTCAGAGTATTATCTACTAATGAACTATTTGTTATCTGTATTATTCCAGAAGAACTCAAGTCCAAAGATACTAACAAAACAGTAGAGGAACAAGCCATTATACAAGAATTTCAAGATATATTCCAGATGACTTTCCAAAACAATTGTGATCATGTTATTGAATTAATTCCAGATATTAAGTCTTTATTCTAACCTACATATTACTTATCTTATTTAAAGATGAATGAGTTAAAAAAACAATTTACAGATTTAACTGAAAAAGGATTTATCTGTCCAAACATATCTTTTTTTGATACACCTGTTCTATTTGTATAAAAAAAAAAGGAACATTGCAACTTTGTGTAGATTATAGTACCTTAAACAAGATTATCATAAAAAACTGATATTCTTTACCTAGAATTAAAGAATTAAAGAATTAATTGGCTAGAGTCAAGTATTTCAGCAAAATTGACCTTTACTTAGAATATCATCAAATTCAAATCAAGAAAGAAAATATTTATAAAATCACTTTCAGAATTTGCTATGGATATTATGAGTTCTTAGTATTTCTTTTTGAACTCACTAATATAGTATCTATAGTTCCAAAAATTGGAATCGAATAAAATCGCAGGAAATCACATGAAATTTAGAATGCTATTAAAATAATAATAAGATATACTCCATCTATTAAATTTAATATAAACTTAAGAATCAAATATAGAATTGAAGAGAATTGTTAGGATTCTTACTAATGCCTCTGCAACATTTATGACCTTAATAAATAATATTTTTCAGAAATATTTTAATTATTTTGTAATTGTCTATCTTAATAATATTCTTATCTATAACAAGATCAAAGAAGAACTCTTAAAACATTTATGAATCATCTTAACAATATTAAGGAAACATTAATTTTATGTCAAGGCAAAGAAATATAAACTAATTCAAATCAAGATTAAATATACTAAACACTACATATTTGCTGAAGAAATTATTATAAATCCACAAAAAATTATTATTATCCAATAATAACAAAAACCTAATAATATATTAGAAATAAGATCCTTTTAGAATTGACAAGCTACTACAGAAAATTTATATAAAAATTCTCTACTATTATGACATCTCTTATTGTTTTTTTATATAAGAATAAAAAATTCCATTGAGATATATCTAAACAAGAAGCTTTTGATTAACTTAAGAAAGCCTTGACTATTGCATCTGTATTACTACTTTCGGATTTTATCAAATCATTTATTGT